ACCGATGTCCTGCGACTGGAGCGGCCGCGCCGATAGCTGGAAGTCGATCGCTGGCGTACGACGTGACCTCGTCGAGGACGTGGTACGCCGCATCGTAGTAGACGCGCAGCTGTATCTTGCTCCTGAACTCGTGCCGCCGTCCTGATCTGTCCCGGGCATCATCGCCACCACCGCCACCGCCGTCGGACGAACGTGGCAGCTCGAGGTCGTGCCATGACGGCGCCGGCGGCTTGAACTTCTTCTTGTCGAACTGCTGCACCTTGATGCTTCCCATGGGGAAGGTGACCTCGCCCAGCAGCTCGTGCCGCTCCGGCGAGGCGATGTCAATGACGGAGATCTCAAGGGGCTCGTCGAACGGCCACGCCGCGACGAGGAAGAAGTCCTCGTCCCACTTGGCGCTCGGCGACGCCCGCGTGTACCACCTCTGCGCACCGAGCTGCACCCTCGCGAACACGCTCATCCGCGACCGGCGGCTGCGGTCAGGGTGGACCAAGTCTTGCGCGGCGATGATGTGGCACCGGAGGTAGCACAGCCGTGGCGCGAAGTAGCACTTCGTCTGGGTGGCGGCCAAGGCGACCGGTGCCAGGTCATGCGCGCCAGCGTGCAGTGCGCCGGCGAAGGCCTCGTCGGACTGCGACCCCTTCCAGGCGGCGACCATGACCTCGCTGCCTGTCCACTGGCCCTTGGCGCCCTTGAGCCCGTACCACTGAGGCGCCAGAGGGTGGTTAGGAGGAGCCAAGCTTGGGACCTCGACGATGCTCATGGTAGCTTTGCCGACGATGCTGTCCCACACGATGAGGTTCTTGTCCTTGACGATCACCTCCACGCTGTCCGCCTGGAGCTGATCCTTGGAGAAGGCGAACACCTGGTTCCACTCGGGTTCACGGTTCCTGATGAGATGACGTGTCACCGCCGAGTAGTTGCCCACCCGGACCTCCACGTACGGGTCGATGCCGAACGTGAGGTCGGTGCCGGAGAGGCCCCTGCCGCGCACTACGTTGACGTACAGGAACTCCAGCTTGTCAACCATGAGGTACTCCGCCGCCTTGGCGTCGTCGGCGGTGGCAGGCGCCGCAGCCTTCTTGGTGGCCTTTGGGGCTCCGGTGGGCGGTGGCATGGACGGCGGCGGCGGTGGCGGTGGCGGTGGCGGGAAGATCAGTGACCCTGTGCTGGACTGCGTGAGGATGGCGTTGAAGACATGCACCGGCGGCTCTTGCACCGTTTCTTTCCTCTTCTTTTTCTTCTTGATCACCATTGCAGGAGATGAGTGCGTGCTTGCGCCTCCGACGACTGTCTCTGGGCCGCCGGCCATGGAGGCGGTGTCGTTGTACGTTGTGGCATACGTGGTAGAGTAGGCATTGCCAGCGGCGGCGGCAGCGGTGGGAGTGGCCGACGCGCCGTACGGCCCCAGGTAGAGGCGGAGCGCGACCTCGCCGCGCGCCGGGGCGAAGAAGCTGGGCTTGTCGAGTGGGCAGCGTAGGAGCACGGCCTCCTGGGCGGACGGCGCGACGGCCGCGCCGAACAGGCGGACGCGGCCGAGGCAGCTCTTGCGGCCGGAGCTGTGCCGGTGGTAGACCCCGACGTCGATGGAACGGTCCGAGAGCCGGCCGGAGATCGCGTCGACTACGAACACGACCGTCTCGTTCCACGTCGGGTTGGCCTCGCCGGGCCTCACGCCGGTCGCGTGGCGTTGGCTGCCGAACGCCACCTGCACGAACGGGGTCACGCGGCCGCGCCTCGCCGGCAGGTCGAGCGCGCCGACGACCTCGACCACCAGCTTCACGCTGTAGCGCACGACGACAGTATCCTCGAAGCGTTTGGTCTGATGTCGAATGTTACCTACTTCTGCATGGGTATATTTCACGGAAATGTAGAATGCTGCAGACTTGCAGAGTCTACGCATGGCTTCCGGGTCAATCCTACGTCATGCTGCGATTAGGGTTTATAGCCTGATTAGGGAGGGTGTCATTTTCTGGTGCAAATTGATCGTGCAGTTGTAACACATTGGCTAAACACATGTCTGCGATGGCGACACAAGCATAGTTGTAAACTTGTGTATCGCCCATGTTGGCTAGATTGGAAATGGCGATGATGACAGATAGGCGAATAGAAAGGAAGCTATAGCCAAGTACAAGCTGAACCAAGAAACCCAATTGATGATATAGAAACACTAAGGAGATTTAATCCGAATCTGGTGTTCACTTATGCAATGCTAAATCAAGTCTTGTGACCAGGTCACCACCACCCATTGGTCTACACTTTCCCGTGTGTGTAAGTGTGTGTTGTAAGCAATGCATGCATCATCTTGCGTTGTGACGTTGCTGACGGTACAATGCAACGATGATATTTGCCCAACTTTGTTTGACTCCGAATTCCTAAGCACAATCATTCGGCCCTTTTTGTATTAGTACGTAGTCTCTTGGTTACAAATTACAAGTCTTATTCCAAAATATATGTAAACATAATGTATATCTATGTGCATAGAGAAAACTATGTACTTGAAAAAAACAGAAAAACAAAATGACTTATAACTTGAAATACAGCCAGAGAGGGGTTAGTTACTACTAAGCTAGCTTAAGCGTTTGCTGCATTGACTTGTCCATACATGCAAACATGATCTTCCACAGTCCCGCCGCCCCTCTACACACACACAGTGAGACTCTATTCTTGTGTTTGGTTTTCAAGTTTTGGCCGACATGTCTCACATTCCAAATGACCTCACCCTCACTGGATTAAGCTCTCCAAATATTAGCTCGTCATTCAGGGGCAAACTGGAGATGCTGACGCAAGCAATCATCAAGGGCTACAAAAGATTCCTGTGGGACACAACAGAAACATATAAACACATCGTTGACTTGAGATACACTCATATGCCCTGGTCTTCCTAAAGAAACAGTATCTTTGCTTGCCACTATGGATTTCTTGCGTATATCCTACATGGACAGCCAATTTGGCGAGAGCGACCTCATTGAGAACCCAAATTGGTTCTAAAAAAATCGGGCAAGATAACATTGACACATCATAAGAAATGGTTGGGAAGTAGTACATCCCTATTTTCTCTACACTGATGACTTCCAGCAAGTTACTGATCTTATATGAACTTGACATCTGTTATACACTGATGACTTCCAGCAAGTATTTTTCAGAATTCAGTGTGCAAACACGCTACAAAAATATTCCGGCTGTTGTGGATGCTTCTCTGATTACAAGATTGAGAGTTCCTATCCAACAAGTGGAACGCTTATATACCCTTTAGGGCCTACTTGGCACAGCTCAGCTTCACTAATGAAGCTGTTTTTTTGCAAAATAGCTTCATGAGCAGCTCTCTGGATGAAGCTGAGCTGTTTTAAAAAAATTATTTGGCAAAACAGCTTCACATGATAAACCAAAACAGCTTCATTACGAACAATTACTATAATACCCTTAGCCTTTTCTTTTTCTTTTTTTTTCTCGCTTCCTACGCATCGCAACAAAGGCCACGACGACGGCGCCATGGCCGTCGCCGAGGACTCCGTCAAGCAGCCACTCCTCCACCGCGCGTACCCGTCCCACGTCACGTCGGCCTCCTCGCCCACGCTCCCGTCCGCGCCCCCGAGGTCCACCGGCCACCACTTCCCCGGGGGACTCGACGTCCCCAACCTCAAGAAGCACGGCGGCGGCACACGTGGATCCGTGTCGAGGCCGCCACGGCCTCCGTGCCATGATGCGGCGCTGCGACCTCCCCGCGTGGGACCTCCGCCTGCTCGACCCGCTCTTCGTGTACCCGTCCACGGTCCTGGGCGTCAACCTCGAGCAGATCCGGTGCGCCATCACCGCCGATGAGGTGCTCCTGCTCACGGCGACACCCATCACGTCGGCCCACGCCCCCAGGGTGGCCTCTCCCAGTGGCCCGCGCCCCTCCCCGCAGCCCACACCTGGCCAAGGCTGCGCCTGCGAGCGCCCCCGACACTCCCATGCTTGGCGGCGGCGCTGCCCACCCCCCTCTACTTGGACAGAAGCAGTCTTTTTTGTTTGGTGGGCCCCACATGTGTCAGCTAAAGATGTGATAAGCTACTTTTTTTTAGCTCTCTCCCATCCCATTCCTTTGTGAGGGGAAGAAAAACAGCTTCACCCATGAAGCTGTTTTGGAAAATGGTGTTTGGCAAAAAAAAAAAACTCACAACAGCTCATGAAGCTGAGCTGTGACAAACAGGCCCTTAGTGTCAAACAAGTTGGGATATGCTAGAAATGTGACATCATGCGAACCAAAGAGAACGAAAAAAGTAGTACTAAAATGAAAACAATACTATAGTCCAGGAATTAATGACATACTCCGTAGTAATAGAATAAATCAAATTCCTAGATCATGGCATGGACAGGAGACATTTTAAGTAGTTTCTGACAGTCGAAGAAAAATTGGATGGATGATCACTACAAAAGTGCCCAGTGCCCTTCACAAATACTGCCCCAGAAACAGTCAAACTAGACAAAGATAGGTCTACAATTGTCATTCGGCCTAGAATTCTGCAAACCAACCAAAGCAGCTGATACAGGCATGTGCTGAAGTCTACTTCAAATTTTCAATATACTTTCAAGTGCAACAACAAAAAATAAATAAATCAAACACATTAAGAACATAAACTTAACTTCAATATATTAGCCTGCTTATACTACAAAGGGGATATGGAAACTGGATGTGGCAACTCATAAGAGGAGCAAATCTAGCCCACTGGATTCTGCACTGCGGTAATATTCATCAATGTACTCCTACAATTGACCAAGAGAGGCCACACAAAAAGAACCTAAATGTACTTTCCAGTACTCTGACTAATTCCCCAACTAATAGGTATACATTTATCAGGGCAGTTCCACACTTCCATGGCGGAAGATAGGCCAAAAAAAGATGAAGAGAGTAACCGAAGGGAGAGCGACCTCCTGTGTAGTTTCAAAAGTTAATCAGAAGCTCAAGGTATTACTCTGCACCATACTGTGACAAGACATGCTAACAGCCTCGACCAAGTTTAGTCGCATTTGATATTTCTGTAGATTCTCCTCACAAATAGGGTGGAGCCCAAATACCCAACAGCACCTACATATACACATAGAAAGGGTGTCAAGAGGACATATGTAAGCTTGAAATGAAATGAAAAATAGTTTGAAAACTCACCGCAAAGTATTCCCAATCCAAGACAGAACATCAAGGTGTAACCAAAGTAGAAGCTTGTCTGGAAAAAGCCTGACATCTTTGTCTTCACATGATAATAGTATATAGAGTATAGATATACATACAAGGCGGTAGAAGCAGCAGAGAAGAATGATGTCCATTGCCAATGATAGTTCTCAGCATTCAACAAGAAATAAGTACCCACAATAGTGACACATATGATGACTATTATCAGGATGACAAAGACCAGCAACATGAAACCATAGACATAGTACACCTGCCAAGGCACCAAGTGATGGACTCAATATTCCTTGAAACTAAAAGAAACAAACTTTGCTGCTGTAACTAAGAAAGTAGTGCAGATCATTCTAAATGCTGGTGATTGGAACTTTAGTACTTCCAATTCCAATAGGTGGAATATTTACCAATGTATTGTTTTTCTTTACCTTGTAGTTCCAGAAGGAAGTGAATACGAAGTACATCTCAATGAAGATACTGCCAAAGGGGAGAAGTCCACCTATCAATGAAATAACAGAAGGTGTAAGGTACCACTTCTTCTCAGGAATAGGGCGTGGGATCGTTTTCACACGACACGGGTTGTTGGGAGCACCACTCCAATTTCTACCAACTACAGTCCCCAATAGAACCAACGGGAAGGAGATGAAAGCCCAAAGAACAAACATGACAACCATTGTGCCAAATGGTATAGCTGCTAATGATCGGTAGAAGATAGCAATAGTGTTCAACACCAATCCAATCGAGAAACACAAGAATGGAAAAAGTGATGCTGTAAGGATCATAGCCTTTATCCAGTTTTTGCCTGCCATAGTATGAAGTAGTGCATTCAGTGAGGTGAAGAACAAGGTAACAGGAAATTTTCAAATTCAAGAATCTATTTATTGGAGCAAAATAACATGGGTAAGCATAACAGAGGACTTAAATAAAAAAAATGTGCAGAATCATACCACCATTCCTTGAATAGAGACCACCACTAACATATCCAGAGATGAAAGATGTAAGAGCATAGCACACAATAAAGGTTGTGATGATAGCTCCTCGCCTGGTGAATAGAACAAAGTATTTTAGTTAGGGGCTTGAGCAAAAATGTTAATGCATACCCATACAAGGTGAGCAATATCCTTGTTGATTAAAACTGAAGTCTGTACAAGTGCAACTTATGAGAGGTTGTGGTGATGGCATCATATATCTGATAGAATAGAGCATATATGCTGATCTCTAAGAATAGTTTTGCATCTACGTTACTGATGTACTCACATAATGCTTAAAGCAGGAAGGAATGCAGGATTCTAGTAATTTCTATGTTACAAATTTTCCATGCTCTCCGAGTCTGAACAATGGATGGGTTGTAAAGTCTGGGTCGCTCGCTCATGCACATCACATCTCATGGAGCACTATTCCAGATGTCAATAGAGGGATTTTGCCAAAGGTATTGCCACATTATGCAAAAGCATCCATTTTTATCTAAACATCCTACAGCGGTCATAAATCAAAATCAGAGACTAATAACCTACCAAAGACATCAATTGCACCATATCATTTCGTCTAAAGAAATATGATTAATTTAACCATAAAACAAGAACGCCCTTTGAAAGCTAAGCCATTCTTATTCATAATTTTCAGGTTCAGATAAATATATTGATTAGCCAAAAATACTTTCATCAATTAAACACCTGAATTTTGCACATCCAAGGCAGAAAAAAGTAAATAAAGAAAGCTGGTTATGAGCTTACCCAACATATAACATGCCAACAATGGCCAACACAATCACAAGCAGGATAAGAGCTGCCAGCTGAGTGCCGATACCAACAAGGGCAGAAAGAAACACCAGGCTGCGAGGAGGTCGGAACACATCACCATGAACAAGCTTCCACCCGGATTCCTCATTAACATCTCGCTCCTGAAAAAGGAAAACCATATCTTAATCCTGAACAATCCATTGATTCAAAGAAAAACTTGTTACTTGGAACTTGTATGATTCAATTTGATTTTTGGTAAAAATTGATTTGTTTGTATGATTCTAGACTTGAAAGGATGGAATATACCCAAAGACTTAGCCTTAGATAGGAGTGCTTGGAAAACAGCTATTCACGTGCCTGAACCTTGATTGCTTCTGCTAGGTTTCAACTCTAGCCTACCCCAACTTGTTTGGGACTTAAAGGCTTTGTTGTTGTTGTTGTGTTATTTCTTTCAGAAATAATGAAATATTAGATTGCTGGCGTGAAAATGGATGGATTATAATAATCTCATAATGTTTGGCTAAAGGATTTTTCTATTTTAGAAATATCATATGATATAGATAAAATCAATCGAGAAAACATTAAGTAACATGAGCAGACAAAATGAAAAACATATAAGTATATTGACGTGCTACAGATTCCAGGTTCAGAACTTACAAGTGATTCCAGATCGTCATCTTCACGAGCATATTTTGCATAATCATTTCTTAGTGTCCTCATCAATATCATTGACACTAAACCAGTCAAGAAAATAACCATCATGAATGAATTGAACATGGAGAACCAATGAATCTGAACATGGAAACAAAGACTCAGCCATCTTGTAATTACTTCAGACAAAAAGCAATGTCCACCTTTGTCAAAGGAGACCTAAGTTTAAAATGGTATGTTGCCTCTGGTGCAAGCAAGAATTACCTGGTGTTCAAAGAATGGGTAGTCTAAGTAAACCTCGAAACGCCGTGCAAATGCCACATTTGTTTGCACCCACTTTACTGAATAAGTCATATCCAACTTTTTACCAGCTTCAAGAAGCTTAGGTGACTCTTGCGTTAGATTCACATGAATTATCTGCAGAGGAAATTGAATTAGCCAACATATTGGTCTCAGCTAATCCTTTTAAGGTTATATACAACACATACCCTGTTACCATTGTATTTAATAACAATGTTCTTATGAGTGTAAAGGTAGTGCTTGTTCTCATTGTTTTTGTCAGTCTCCCCAACAAAACCTGCTCACAGGGAAACTGGCTCCATTATTTTAAAAGAAAATAGAAAGAATTTGTGCAACAGAAATGAACAGGTATAAAACCACCTACCCCACAATGGCAGATCATCTAGGTTATTGAACCACGGTAAGCATTGGAGCAAAATGTGGACACAAAGAATGTCAGAAACAAGATAAAGCATCCAAAAAATGTGGATCAGAATAAAACTAAATGAGGATTTTCCATACCTATGAAAAGCTCAAACCAATATGAGTTTTCAATGGCATTAGCAAATTGCTGAACCTTTTGAGCATCAAGTTCAATTGTGCAAATGGCCCCCTTGTCCACATTCTCTAAAACAAAAGGAACATTCGAATGAAAAGCCAACGAAATAAATCAATTCAGTCACAGGAACGAACATGCAACAATGCATGGTCCAAGAAATAAACAAACTTCAGGAGGATGTCAAGAGAAGGCAAGCATACTTATGAACTTTATATCAATCTGACTATCAATCAGCTCATTTCCACCAAGGACCTCTCCGAGACCACCCCATTTATGTGCAGGGTTTTCAGATGGTTGACAAAATGGGAGACTGTAATAGTTGTAAGTTTCTTGAGGATTATTGTAAGGCCCAACCTTGTTTACCCATAGCTTAACAGGTTCTTCTGTTTTATACTGCACATAAGGAAAATAATAATTATTTTAGCTGCAATGCTTTAGTAGATGAATCATTCTCATCATAGTTAAATTCAGTACAGGTAAATTTTGAAAAGACAACAACATTTAAGCTGGTTCTGGTTGTAGGAAACAAGTTTTCTGAATATTGTTGCATCAGTGTAACAGTGTAAGATATAGAGAAGTATAGCGATCATGACCACTAAATGTTTAATTTGGAACAGCCCCAACCATATAAGGAAAAAGAGCTCTAATATTTCTTAAGCTCATGGATTCAATCTTCTATCTTATAATCACTAAACATCAGAGATGTAGATATTTCATGGACTCAACACAGAGCAGCCTTCTAGTCAGAAATAGAAATGTAAGCAGTCTAACTAGGACTTTCACAATATACATATGTAGATGTTTTATTTACCTTACTAATCACAAGTTTCTGAAGGGCGGGCCTGGTGCAAGCGGTAGAGTCTTACCGCCTGTGACCGGAAGGTCCCGGGTTCGAGTCGCGGTCTCCTCGCATTGCACAGGCAAGGGTAAGGCTTGCCACTAACACCCTTCCCCAGACCCCGCACAGAGCGGGAGCCCTCTGCACTGGGTACGCCCTTTTTACTAATCACAAGTTTCTGCCTAATGACATCAACGCCTGACTTTACATCACAGAGTAACACTCACCATACAGAAGACGACTCAAAGTAATTATTCTGACAGGTCTAAGTGCAATTAGCCAGTTACACTCAGCATGAAACTAAAATAATGTCCAAAATAGAACTGCTTCCCCCAGGACATTGCTGCAAGGAACTGCCACTGTGCTAAAGCTAATCCCTTGTTAGCTAACTGTGAGTAATCTAGTCCAGAATTTTAACAAAAAAATGGAGAATGAATATGTATTCGTCTTTGAACTATCAAATCAAATGCCACTAGTATTCGCCACAATGGGGGGCGGGCTTATCTGAAATCCCCACAATAACTACCAAATTAAAGTGTAGCATAACAACTGTAAGCCCACGAATCCACGATGATATGCATGCATTGTACCCTTTCCTAGACATGACATGCACCATCTAATAATCTGAATGCAAGACCAAGAAAACACACATGCAGTTGCAAGCAAAAAGATGTCCCCTATATATGTTTAACCTTACACGAGGCCTACAATGACGCAACTAGAACCAGCTGCTTCTCCACGAGAATGTTAACACTGTCTGAAAGTTGCAAGCAAACAAAAAGGGACTTTTGTCTGAATATGGCTGTCATGATTTCTTGCCCACACCCCCATAGCAACCAGGATCAAAACAACCAGTTTCTGAGACAGCACCCAAACCGTTGTCTCGCTCATCATAACTCCAAATCAGTAAGCGCCCAGAATTTCGCACCGCGGAGCTACAGACCAAAGCCGTCCCCTGGTACTAAACACGCGGTCCCCCAGCGGCGCGCGGCGTCCAGATCCGGCGCGGCGCCTCGACGGATCCAGCCAAGGGAAGGAGTGTTCGGATCTAGGGTTGGGATGAAGGGGGGCACCTTGTGGTCGGCCTCCGAGGCGTACGCGAGGGGCGAGTGTGCGACGGCGAGGAGGAGGACGGCCGCGAGGAGGAGCACGCCGCGGCGGAGCATCTCGTCGGCGGCGAGATCTGCGCGGTGGGAGGCGGCCGCGAGCGTGCTGCGGGGGTGTCTCAGTCTCGAACGAGCACGAGCTGTGGAGTTTTGCGCAGAAGCCCTTGTGAAATGGTGTACTGTATTCGAGAATGTTAGGATACGATAACAGAGTAATCACGGGGCAAACGTGAGAAAAATCATGACAAAACCGTGTAAGGCCCCGTTTAGTTCCATCCAAAAACCAAAATTTTTTGCGCAGTATCCGTCATATCGAATCTTGCGGCATATACATGGAGTACTAAATGTAGACGAAAAAAAAAACTAATTGCACAGTTAGGTGAGAAATCGCGAGACGAAACTTTCGAATCTAATTAGTCTATAATTAGACACTAATTGCCAAATAAAAACGAAAGTGCTACAGTACCCTAAACCCAAAAATTTTTGGATCTAAACACGCCCTAAATGCATCACAGGCATCCTTCATCATTCCTTCTTCCTGTGTGCTGAAGGTACGTCAAAACACAAAACAGTGAAGAGCTTGGTACTCCTTCCATTTTTTCTATATGTCCTATTTATTATTATATTATCTTAAGGCAATATTTATATCTTTGACTATACATTTCAAAAAAAAATATGAGTTAATGATATAATATTTATATTTAAAATTCACTATAAGAAATACTTTTATAAATATAATAGTTGTATATTGTGAAATTATAAGGAGTTTTCAAATATTTGACCAAAGATAGTTGATGGGGAACAAAACTAATGTGACATGTGAGCCGAGAGAGTAATAGCCCATCTATTTACAAAATACAAACCATTTACTCATAAGTCAATATATAACATCTATTTTTTCCAAATAATCTAACAACTAATTGATTTAATTAGATCTGCCATGTATTGATAGTTTATTTATTTGGCATACTACAGATGGTAATATCAAAAGTATAGTTAGAGGTGCGCGAACTCACAAATTTAGGCGATCTGAAGTGGTCGATGATTTAATAAGTAAGTCAGTAAGTTAGAGTGAAAAAAATTATGAGCAACAGTACATAAAAGGGCTCTTTATCACCATAATTTTTTTGTGTATATCTTTCTTTCTTTTTATTACGTAAAATGGTTGCACGTCTTTGTATTAAAATAGAGAAATTGTTTGATACAACACGTCTTAACGGCGCCCTAGGGGGTCAATAAAATTTCTTATGCAACGATCCTCTAAAATAGTTTGATACATAAAAGATCTCTAGTGTGGCCAACATGTCGCGTATTTGGCCGAGCATGTGACAGTCGAGGTTTAGCATCTATCATAATTTTTACTCTATTCGTTCTAAATTGTAAGATGTTATAACTTTTTCTCAATACATTTCTCTAGTTATGTATTAAGCTATAATGCATATCTAAAATGTCTTATAATTTGGAATATAGATATTTGTGTAAAGTCGTTGAATACTTTTTTTTGAGATTAACACGTTGAATACTTGAATGTGGAAGAAGAATATTTTTAGCTTCTTTCGAGAGAGAAAAAAAGGAAAGTCCAACTGAAAAGCCCTTTGTGTAAGGATAATTTGTAAAATGCATCTTTGCTTGCAAACGCAAAAGCAAACCCCCCGGCACGTTGTTCGCGCGCCGTGGCTGAGGACTCCGCTCCCATTTTCCAACGAGAATCAAACACCATGCAGAAAAACTCCGCTCCCATTTGAAAATCCTCGAACTCGCGGGGCTCGCCACCCGGCGTGGCCGCTGAGGCAGGGACGTGGGAGCTGCCGCCGCCCGCCGGACGCGGCGGGCGCCTCCGACGACGCATCCACCACTCTCTAGCTAGGGTTAGTATACGCGCGCCGGTGCTAGCCGTGTTGCTGCCCTTAAGGTGATCGATTCAGTTTCCGTGGGGACGAATTGTTGGCCTGGGGTTAATTTGGTCAGCGGAAGCTGTGGACGAACGGATCAATCGAGGAGTCGGTTGGGGGTTTCTCCTTGAGGAATACGAAGCCCTTGTTTAATTCCTCCAAACTCCTGAAAAGTGCACTATGCAAAAAAAGATTTCCCGTCACATCAAACTTGCGGTATATGCATGGAGTACTAAATGTAGACGAAATAAAAAACTAATTGCACAGTTTGCTTTAACTTTGCGAGACGAATCTTTTGAGCCTAATTAGTCAATGTTTGGACAATAATTCACAAATACAAACGAAATGCTACAGTTAGGAATCTTCACTATGCGCAAACTTTGCCCAACTAAACACCCCCGAAAACAAAATAAATGAATCATGTACTGTACAGTGCAACAGCGGAGCAGCTCTTGTGTTTTTCTGAAGGTGTTGGGTCGGTGATAGACGAGTGATGCTCGGTTCTCGATCACGGCATCACCGGTTGTGAGTTGAGACTGAAGCTGAATAGTCCTCATAAGTGGCCAATTGATATTCTGTTCTCACGTACATTAGTGAATTTCTGCCAAATCATGACCTCAGCTAGTCAGCTGCCTGATCCTGGGATTAGATAGCCCGTCTTGGGACCCCATTCTGGTTTCCAACCATGGAAAGCTGCACTAGTGCTATGCTCTGTCTTGTGAGCATTTGTAATTATAGGTACTTCGAGATGACTTGTGCCTTTGGTCGCCAAACTAAGTGGGAATGTCAACCCAATGTCCCACCCAATACATTGTTTTTTCCCTTGGTATTTTCTACTTTCTGGCATAGTTTAGTTACCCAGGCCAAGAGATGATAATGGTATCCCTGCAAATGCTAATCTAAATTATGTCTTCTGCCATGAAGTAGTATGGTAGTGAAGAGTCTGAATATAGTTCCTACGAGCTTTGCAGGACTGCATAATATGGTGTGGACTAGTGTGGACAAGTTACTAAGTATTTGTAAAAATAACCTGACATATGCTGAATTGGACATTGTTATCTCCTATTTGGAAAGACAGGGAAAGACAAAGAGGTTTGTTTTAGGATACATAAAAATATTCTCTGTAATATTCGGGAGGTAAACAAGAAGACTAGAACCCTCAGCCTTTCTATTTTCTGTGGTTTGAAATGAATCCGGTGAAGGTTGCGTATTTGCAGAAACAAAGCATACGGCGAATTCAATTGTTACTTGTGAAGTTCCTGCATTCCAAGCAGGGCCTAAATGGGATTTCCATTTTAACAGTATTTAGATTTTTTATAACAACAGGATATTCATAGAGGCTTGATCCATGCAATGGTTTTTTTAGTAGACCTGGTTTCTATTCTACCAATAGTTCGGCTTGTCCTGAACTAGACCAAAAGTTTATATTCAAACCATTAGATTTGATTCAACATAAAACTTTTATTCTCAAAACGATGAAATAAATCTTAGCATGATTTATTTAAAAAGAAACATCATCTATCAAACAGGAAGGAGAACTGTGTGTCATTATATTAAGAAGAAAAAAGGATGAGAACCCTTAGGAACAAAATAATCTAATTTGCAGTTTGATTCTACATGTAATTCAATCATGTTGCTGTAGTGCTATGATCTACATAGGTACTGTGCAGTGGCGGATCTACCAGGGGGCTTGCCGGGGCTCAAGCCCATGGAGCCCCCCTAAGCCTCTCCTAAAATTTTTCACCATTGTTGTGCCTTGAGAAGGAGAGGTTGCATGCGTGAGATGTGTCTAGAGGTTGAAGAAAGAGCTCTAGTCACGACTTGAGCCAGCCACTTGTATGTTCAGCCTCCTCTATTATATTTTCCTGGATCCGCCACTGGTACTGTGCATGTGCAGATGCCAGCAAAGCTCAAGGTTGGACCAGTCAATTAATTTTGCAGACACAAACAGAAATGTATCAATAACAACATGTACGGGCAAACACTGGTGGGCATTGGAGTATTGGGCTCAAGATAAGTCATCTGCTTACCTAAGAACGGTTGCTAAGTCAGTTTTGGTTCTGGTATGCAATCAACCAGATATATATATGTGAATGTGGATGACCGTTCTCCCCTCAATGCACTCCAGTATATTTATTCTTGGGTTGAAATTTGTATTATATGTATTCAAATGATTTGTTTATTATCATTCACAACTCTGATATTTTTTCGAATCCAATAGACTATGTGTCACTCTGGTAAAAAAAAATTCAAAACTATTATAGATTTCAGGCCCATGGCCCAATACTGGCCTTTTTTGCAATTGCTTCCCTCTAAATGCTTAAGCAACATTTTGGTCCATGTCAATGCACTTTCCATTAACTGGCCACCAAGCCCATTCAGGAATTCAGTATATTTCATTTCTAAACATTTAGCCAAGTGCTCCATGCGTTCAACCTTATACCATGTAAGGATTTAGTTTGTGTCATGAATAAGGGAATAGAAGTCATATCTTGTGGTTTAAGACTTATCATCAAAATCATGCTTGTTCTTAGGATGACGTCTTCAGACGATACAGTCGCCTTCTTGGAAATCTGTTTACTTTTCTTTAGCTACACATGTCATCATCTTTCTGCAGCTGATTGGTATTATTGAGTTCATTTAAACTCAAACCTCTCTGCATAAGCTTCTGTCCCAATAAGCATTTATCTCTGACACACTTTTGTTTTGCATTAACAAGCCAAATTACCAAATTCGTAAATAACTCACTGTAAAGGCCTATCCTGAATCCTCGAGCAGGGCAATAAGCTATTCTTCTGAATAATGCCAATATGCTATACAGGCTTATTGGTTAGCTCACCAGCACAAGTTACGCTATATCTTACATGCTGTAGATTTTTTTGCTTTCTCTTGCATTATCATAATTTACGAGAGGACATGAATGATTATATTAAAAAAAATTCGCGATCGTGCCTGGGCACATATTTCATTAAGAAGAATAGAGTTTGTTACAAGAGACGGGCGCGACGGTAATTCGGGGTTACCGAGGGCCGACCGAAAGCGAGCACGAAGGCACACAAGGTTGTAATTACGTCATACAAATTTCGTGACCGATGTTGCAGGGCTCAAATTGACTCCATCAGTGCACCGAGGTGCTTGTAGCCCGCCATGCACCAAGCGTCAGCTTCT